ATTGCTCCAGGGGTTTAGCCACACTTGCTGTCTGAGAGAATAAGTCAAGTAGTGAAAGAGCTACTAGACCACCGCAACATATACAAAACCTCATATAACAGCTCTGTAGCATGCATTGTAAGATGAAATACAAAACTTCTATTTCTGAATGGCTATGATGGATTGTGTCTGAGATAGAAGAAATAATTTATGATCAGATGAGAAAAATCAAAACCAAATAAGACAAGTATGTTAATATACTTGTTAATATACAGACAAGTATATTTACTTTCAAAATACATAGGTAGTTTAGTGATGGAAGGAAGAAAAAGAACATACAACCAGATTCAAAGATAGTTTGTATCAATTATATTGAAAAGTTAGTGAGACTCTGGAGACTACTTTCATAATAACCGGGATAAATTAAGCGAATGCTCTAATTTGGACTTGGAAACCTGTTTCTTGGAAGTTTCCAGTGGAAGGTATTATTACAGGACACCATACTCTTTCTTTATCTCTGTCATCCACCTGGGAAGTCAGCAAATGGTGTAACACTTGTTTATCATAAAATCATAGAATAGTTAGGGTTGGAAAGGACCTTAAGATCATCTAGTTCCAATCCTGTGCCATGGGCAGGGGTGCCTCATACTAGACCATGCCACCCAAGGCTCTGTCCAGCCTGGTCTTGAGCACTGAGAAGGATGGAGCATTTACCACTTCTTTGGACAACCTGTCCCAGTGCCTCACCACCCTCACAGTAAAGAATTTCTTCCTTATATCTAACCTGAACTTCCCCTGTTTAAGTTTAAACCCTTTTATCTCTTGTCCTCCCACTACAGTCCTTGATGAAGAGTCTATACACACTAAAGCTATTTTTAAGAATCCACCTTGAAGATGAAAAGTTTGAAATACAGGAAAAATCACTGAAAACCAGTATTTTCTGTAACATATAAATGATATAAAAGTCTCAAAGGCAGTACAATTGACATTAACTTTGAAAATGTACTTTTAAAAATAAAGCTTTGATAAAAGCGTACTGAAGTTTGGGGCAAATAGTGAAGAGAGAGCTTATGATAAGGAATATGGTGACTCTTCAAAAAAACAAGGGAAAGCAATCTGATTTTTGTAGCTTTAAATGTTCTAAAGAATGAAACATTTGTAGAGGTTTTGAAATGTAAAATTTCTTTTAGAGGGTTTTTCTCAAACATTTTCTTTTGGAGGAAGGGAAGAGAGTGAGATTTTCTCTCACAAACATGCTTACTTTAAATAGACATTTCAGAAGCAAAGATTCATGATCCATGATTTTTCTTGCTAGCTAAATTGCCAGCTGCTACATGAGATCTCCCATTTAAATTCTGTAGATGTTGGTGCCTTGGCTGCATAGCTATGCTAACTTTGGTGGGTTTTTTTCCAGAGCTCTTTGGTAGTGATTATTTTAAATACATAAAGGAATCAGCAATAAGGCAAACATATCCTCATCTGAGGGGTTAGAAGTGAGTCCCATCCCCTGCAATTGCAGTCATACATGTCACAGCATCATAATTACTTCCATCTTGAAACACATGGGAACTTTCTATCTCTACTCATAGTGCTAAACTATTCCTGAACTGAAGTGCCTCGCTAGTTGAAAGGCTTTTAATTCATGATCTAAATTTATCCCTGGCCTCTTCATATCCATTTGCTTTCATGACAGTGTTATCTTTTAGTTTAAATTTCTCTCCTCTTTGCAGAGGCATGTCATAGTAGTGGTCAATCTCTGATGTTTTAAGATGTCTGCAGTTTATGGAAATCTCAAGTGCAGTTTTCATTCTTAATTCCGTAATGTGCAAGGAGCTGATGCTCATGCTACTGTTTGGTAAGTCAAATATCCAGCTATGAAAGGAATTGAGCAAAATGGGCTAACATTACCACATATAAACTGCAACCCAGATTACACATTAGAGTACAGGAAACTACAATCCTGCAACCCAGTCCCAGTATAGAAGGCCCCTGAGAAGACACCATTTTCCACTTTGAACTATGCCCATTTTATCCGTTCCTTAAGATTTTCAAGTCCAGAAAGTGTCTTTTGGCAATCTGATTATTTTTGTGTGATATTTGTCATGTCTACTCTGAATTTAGTTTGTTTTTATATAATACACTATAGGTCATTCTTTTTCACCAAGCTAGTATACATGAAACACAATATCTTATATTTTGCTGAATTGTTTCTTCCAGAAAGCTGTACTGTCTTGGCCACTACAATTTGATCTTCTGTTAAGTTCCTTTAACTATTAAACTGCTCACCTAAATTCCCATTTGAATTTGTCTGTCTCTCATTGATTTTTCTTCTGCCTTTCTTCTTCAGATGAATGTCCAGCATTTTCTGCCCCTTTGAGGTATTTACACTTCAATGTTATTTTTCAGTCTTCTTTTTGATAAACTAAACAGGTTGATCTCTTAAAGTCTCTTACTTTAAGATTTCCCTAACTCTCAGTGCTTTAGTGGCTTTGTTCAGTACCTTTATATATATTAATGTCCTCTTAAACAAGGAATTTGGTGCAATGTGCAAGAATATCACCAATATCATATAAAATAGTAAGTGAACATGATGCTTCTGCTCTTGATATTTCCACACTACTGGATAACACAGTAGTGCAGTGAGAACTTTAACACAATAGTGCTGAGTTGTTCAACATGAATTATGAACCCTTCTTCAGACTCAGCTGCTTTCTCCAACTCTGGCCACACTCCCATTTAGTTTACCTCTTAACATCCTTCCTTTGTCTCTTTTAAATTATTCTACTTAAATGGACAGAACTTAGGAAATGGGTTATTTTATTGCCCTCATCAATATCTATACCTTATTTAATTATTTATTTATTTTCAACTCTTAGTTTAAAACCATTGATAATTTTGTTTTTCCTTTCCAGATGGTAGATGGCAGTGCTGAACACCATTCTTACTATGACTCCCTACAATAGCTTTTTGTCTAGAATTTAAGATGCTGTTCTAGACAAGCTGCATCTTGGCTGTGGTGGGCTGCTTCTCATTGTCTAACATTTTTATCGCAGTATAAATGTCTTCAGCTTGACCTAACAGTTTCAGACTCAAATATGATTTTTGGTAGGTCATGCACTGTGGCAGACATGTTTTTTCATCTCAGTCCATGAAATTTCAATGACAGTCTTCAAGGTATGGCATAAAGCTAAACTCTCTTCAGATTTTAAGTGAACACTTATTGAACAGACAGAATAGACTAAATACAAGAGTAATTATAGACCTGGTGATTCCAATTCCGATTTAGAAATTTATGAACAATCTATAAATTGCAAATCAACTCACACATAGAATAAACACTAGATAACAAATAAGGCAGAAGGATTGCAGTTCTCTGATTTCAGTTGATGTAATTTAGAAATGGAACAGTTTTAATTAAAATATGAGTTAACCACAATATTCTAGAGGTTTCTATGTTCATATTCTGTGCATGTCCAAGTTTGTAATACTCAAGACTTAATATGACATAAATACTAATTTAAGATATCAAAGTCAAAGTTCATATTTGAAGACAGATATATTTTAGCAGACCTTCTAAATGGAATGTGCCGCAAAACTGTAACTTTTCATGTCCTGAGTAACACATCGTTTGGAGGAAAAAAATTACATTCCTAGTCTGCACTTAACATTGCATCTGCATACACACATACTTGTATGAAATTTTCCCATTTTGGAACTCCATCCATTGTTAACAAGCAAAGTCCAGCATAGAGTTTTTATGTGTTAGGAAATTCCTAAGGATTTTAGGGTTTTCCCTGGGCTTACTTCTAAACAAAAGCATTTTTAATCACTTCTAAAACAGTGAATTGGCAATAATAAGAGAAAACCAAGCAGGTAAGAAGTCAGAAGAAATGGGAAAAGCTCTTTATCTTTTTTGAGACTCCAAAAGCCATGAATGGTTTTATTTGAATTGTGTATCACAATGTTACTCAGAAATTTATGTGTGTGTGTATATATGTATATATATTTGCTGACTGTATTGCTCTTTCAATGCATTGGCCAGCATTCAAGTAAGGGTTCCACAATAACAGAGCCTTTTCCTTGGGTCCACATGGCTGATTGCACTGCCAATACTCTTCTCACTTAGCATGTGTGGAGCACACTTTAGAATGTCAGTGACAGTTCTGTATGCATAAGGAGAGGAGGCTATATGAGATGACATTTGCCATGTGGCCCTGAAATGAAAATTTTGCCCTAAAATAATTGCTTCAGTAAGTTGGTGGTTTTTTTCCACTGCAGCGGGTACTTTTTTTTTTAACAGAAAAATAACCTCTAAGACAGAGATAAAGAATACTATTTGCCAAAAGACTGTTTAATATGTAGTGTTACATTTAAATATCAATATAAAATAACAGCTGAAGAAAAATTGGTGTAGTAATACTATTCCATGAAAGACAAAGAATAAACTAGATTGGAAAAGACCTTTAAAATCATCAGGTCCAACCTTTACCCTAGGACTGCCAAGACCACCAATAAGCCATGTCACTAATGGCCTCATCTACATATTTTCTGAACACTTCCAGGGATGGTGATTCCACTATGTCCTTACTATTTTCTTTCTCATCTGGACTTCTGTTACACCACACCCAGTTAAAAAAGATTCATTGTAACATAGGTTCCAAATTATGATATTCCACATGCACAGCTTTTGTGTAGATGACATAGTTTAATTATGTGATGATGAAATGACTACCATTGACTGAAAGTCTTATTAATCTACAAAATCCTGAAGAAGAGTTAACAGCAACCTATAACTAAGCAGCTTAACAAAATAAAATTTACATATAAAAAGACAGATAGGAAAAGCATTTATTTGCTACTACTATTCTTGAAGCATAAACTAACTGGAAAGGCAATCTTAGCTTTGCTATTTTCTTGTTCATACAGAAAGTAAATTATTGACTATGTAAAATTAAAGTATACATAACAAAATCTCTAACAAAATTCCATTTGTTTGTTTATTTGCTTTTCCTTGCTGTTAGCTTGGTAGCCACAAAGGAAACAGACAGTGCAAGATCGCGCAGCATGCCGATGTCACCATCTGATTTCCTGGACAAGCTAATGGGAAGGATGTCAGGCTACGATGCAAGAATAAGACCAAATTTCAAAGGTAATTTCAAACCTAAACTTTTATTTTTTCAGTATTTCAATATTTCTTCTCACATAAATGCAGTTTCTGGAATAAGTATGAAAACTAAGAAGTACACTCATTGAAAACAAACAAAAAAAATGCCTTCTTTTGCCTTTCTTTGTTATGACAGTAGTAATATTCTCTATTACTGTCATTTTTACAGCTTTCCAAATACAGACCTTTTGGAAATTTGGCCTACCACTAGGTTTCGATTGTCTAATACAATTAATTATTATTTTTTTGTTTTGTTTAGTGGGTTTTGTTTGGGTTTTTTTTTTGTTTGGCTTAGTTTGTTTTTCTGTTGTTTTTTTTTCTTTTTGTGGTGGAGGTGGGTGGTTTTTTTCCTAACTCTTTTTATAATTTTTTGACATCTCCAACTCCCAGAAATATAAGTGGTTATGACTCTATTTGCTAGTGTTGTCAGAATTTGCCCAGATTGATTCATAAAGACCAAGTTGTTTGTCAAAGTACTTCCTCACAGTAAGCTATAAACAGTTGGTGCTGTGTATATAAAGCTATTAACCAGGATTTAATGCAGCTGGAGATGTTTTGCTTTTAATAAGTTAGTGGTGCTGATATTTCTCAGAAAATGATAAACGTGCACTGGAAATTCAAACACATCAGTAAAAGATTTACAACAGTGATCAATATCCCTAACAACCACACAGAATAAGACCTCTGAACCCTCCTTGCCAGAACTACTTTGAAGAATGTTCTGGTGCCTGGCTTCCTCTAGGGCTCAACAATATCAAACAGTTTACTGAAAGTAATGTAAAACACTCTATTTCTAATTTTTTTTTCTTGTATGAATGATAGCTCTTACATTATTTTTGCTCCTTATTAAAGTTACCTTGACTTTTTTTGGCACAGTATATTCTTTAGCATGCAAGCTGCAGGTTCAACCTAAGGTAAAGTTTTGCTGGGCAGAAGACCTCAGGCAAACTCTAAACTCTGCGGGGTTTTTTTCTTTCTTTTTTGTGTTTCCTGAAGTCCTGCAAACAGGTGTTTAAAAGTGAGTTTACAGCTTAGCAGTTGATTTAGAGATTGGATTTTGGAGATTGCCATGGACATCACGCAATCACAGTGTTCTGATGGAGCTACAGTGAAGAACAGGCACATGATTTAAAGATCAGCAAATTCAATACAGTACTATTTGAAAGTATAATTCAAAAAACTTAGAGCCTTGTTTTGTAACAATTGAAATTTAAAGAGACAAAACCTAATTTGACATTGTTCTTTTTCAAAAAGTGCACATTCTAAATCTTCTAGACAGCTACACACTTTGAACAAATCTGCCCAGAATGATTCAGACCTATCACTAAGAATAAGTATCTCCTTCAGTGACTTTGCCACTTTCTGGTGGCAAGTGCTGGGGTTTAATGCCTTTTTGAGTTTGTAATGTGGCAACAGTTTTAAAGAAACAGAATGAGTACTGATAAGAGAACTCAGTCAATAATTTTAAATAATTTATTCTTCCAGTAAAATTCCTACTTGAAAAATATCTTTAACTACTGATTTTAGTCATAGTTAGCTTTGGTCAATAACATGCAATTATATATTTTGTCTGAGTGCTCTGCTTTTGGATAAGGAATTCTGCATATCTCTTCTTGTTCAACAGAAATAATAGAGAAGACTATTGGTATTTATTTAGCTATGGATTAAAACCAGAAAGTTAAGAAACCTTGCAAAATCTTTGTTCCATCCGCAAATTATTTACTTTACCCAGTAGATCAAACCTATATAAAGATGCTTCTCTTCTTACTCAGCAGTTCCATATCCCAGACTCTCTGTTTCTTACAAATATGAGAAATATTTTATCACCTTTCAAATTTGGACAAAATTATGTAATTCATGTGTAAAAATTGTCATGGCCTCAAGATGCTCAGAATTAATCTTATACAGACGAGGTATTATAATTTTCAATCTATATAGCCCAGATCATAACACTAATAACAACCTATTAATGTGGAAATTTTGGGATTTACATAGGAAAGTGTAAAGCATTCCTTGCCTTTGTACTGCCAAAAGTACTCACCTAATCATTAGTTTAGGAACTTCTTAAACCAAGATTTAATTAAAAAAAATAAATTAGATAAATATGTTCATCTCATCACTTCTAGAAGCAGTTTTGGCATTTCAATGCAAATCCAAGGGGGAGCGCACCAGCAATCACCTTGTACTTTGAAAATTGGCTATGTATCCCTAACATTAAGTCACTTTAAAGCAAAAGGCACTGTCTTTCACTGAAGACTAACACCCTTAAAGAGCCTTTGAAAAAAGATCATGTTGAAAAGTTATTAAAACTCCAAATAAACTATTTTAATTAATTTAAATATATACTACAATTAAAGTTAATACTTATTTAATATTATACTGCCTTTACCCACGTGCTCATCAGCTCTTTCAGAGAGATTTAGTAGATCTGAGAGACATTATTTCAGCAAAAATAATATTTATCCACATCTGTTAATCACAATAGTTGTCATAATTTCTACCAGTTTGGCTGGTACAGAGGTAAGGTTTACAGGGATAAAGCTCATTGTCAATCTCATCCACTATCACACCTGAAGTCTGATTAGCTTTTTTAATTCAAGTTACACTTGCTGGACAAGGTACACCTTTCCGCTGATAACAAAACTGATGCAGGTTATACCTGACTCACAGTGATTTATATTTCCACAACTTTACAAAGATTTTCTTATTGCCTGGCTTGATATCACCTCAGCCTGTCAGTTTGCTCTGATCACTTAGTCTGAAACATCTTCTACAGTCCTCCTTCAAATCTTCCGTCAGAATAGCTACAGTATTTGACAGCAACTGGGGACAAGTGATGCTAAAAGACTTCATTTAGTTTTTCTCTTCTGACCTTCTTCACTTCCATGGATGTCTTTAATCATCTTTTCTTGAATTCACCTTCCAGATGTTGGCAGGATTCTATTTTTAACTCCTTGCAGATAGTTATCATTGTTAGCATTTGTGTGTCTAGTGAGTGTCAGCTCTATTTTTTCTCCTTGTCTTTAATCTATGTTCCATATGCCTGAGTTCCTGTGTTTGAATATGACTTCCAGTTTTAACAGTTTCATTTGCACTTCTTTTTGTTTTGGGAAGTTCTTTTTTACTCTCAGCACAGTATCTTTAAATAATCTTTAAATCATTTGCAAGCTGCTTTTACCTTCTCCTTTTGCACTCTTTTTAACTAAATCTTAAGTATACTGTTGTAATGCTGCTTTTGAAATTAAGCATTGTAGTGATTTATGGCTTTTTCTTTATAAAAGCAAGTATGTTTGTTGATATAGCACACTTAAACCTTAAAGCATAGTAATAATTTAAACAAGATAATATCATACCAAATTTGAAATGATGACGGACACTATAACATGAAAATGCTCGAAAAGAAAGCTGTGTTGCAAATAAATAATCTAACATAGCCAAGTACAATTTTCTCCCTGGCAGTTTTTACTGACTCTGCCTTTGTTCATCTCCCTTGCTTTTTCTTTTTCCCTTGATCCTTTTCAGGAGTTGTCTATGTTAAGCTTTTACTGAATTCTAAGATATAACGAACATGCTCAAGAACAGCTCTAAATTATTAACTGGATATCAAAGTGAAAATAGTGTCAAAGTGACTGCAGATCGACACCTCCTTACTTGAGAATTCTGCTCCATAGGATGCAGTCTTGTGCATTACAGTGGCTGAAGTACATGTAGTGATATTTTGTTGAAATTGCTACACAGTATTTCAAAACAATCATTGCCGTGAAGAAAGAAGAATGTTTCAAATTTTGTCCTATTGGCAGAATTTTTAATGGATGTTCTGGATCTTCAAGTGTTTGAGTTCATTGGTCACATTAGATTTTTTTAGTTGCAAAGCACCAACAGTTTCAGGGCAGATGTTTCTTCAATGACCCTAAAAAGGAATATTACGTAAGGGTTTGTAAGGCCAATCCTCAAATTCCAGATACAAATCTTTCATTAATAGTGACTGCTTAAAACTACAAAAAGAAACCAGGTTCTCCAGTGCTGAACTGGATTATTGATATAGAAGAATATTAAAGGGCAAGAGGGTGACTAAAAAACCTTGTGATGGAAAAATCTTGCTTCTGCTGCACAGAGATTTAAATTGATAAGATTTAATGGACAAATTAACATGCTCTACCACCATGCCATTTTTACAGAGACTTTCAGAGAAATAATTTAAAACCTTTCCCATGAAGAGACAATTCATTGTTCAGTTATCATAATGACTGCACTGCCACTACTGATTCATCTCACATGCAAGATAAGACAGAACAACAGTTGCCTAAAGACTCGTAGTAACAGAAAATTCAGTTTAAACAGATTATTAACCATTTTGTGGATTTGAGAGGAATGAGAATAGAATCTAAGTCTTTCTTTCTTATCCACATTTGTCCCTGTAAGCAGTAGAGATAAGAGCAGAAGCAATGTATTTCTGTTACCAGTGATGACAGATAACATTAAAGGTAACAGCTGCCTTGAGTGAAGGCTATTTTTATCCCTAATTGTTGTGAGAAGTGCATACACTGCTTGCTGAAACACATAAAAACCTGTTTTACTATATATTTCAAACAGGGTGCTGATTTTTTTCTTTTTTTGCACAGAAACATCTGTGCAAGTCAATAATCAACTTTGTCTCTTTTTATTATTGCTAAAACTGGCCAGTCAAGTAACCTACCTTTGAGAAAAATCAAAATGAAATATATTAGGAGCTATTTGCTTTAATTGTGCACTAAATGAGTTGTGCATGTAGCATTATTTCATCCTAATTAGATTTAAAAAAATCATATTTTTTATATTTTATAGTCAGTCAGTAAGGTAAAGGAACTGGTGTGTTTTTTTTTCTTTTGCAGGCCCTCCAGTTAATGTCACATGCAACATATTTATAAACAGCTTTGGATCCATTGCAGAGACAACCATGGTAAGATATTTTACCTCAAGCAGCGATTAAAGTTCAAGTTAAATGTGCTCAATGAGCTCAAAAGCTAACTAAGGCTTCTCTTCACCTGGAACTAAATGAAGAAGGAAATCCACTTCTAAGAACAGAAGTGAGAACATTTAATTTGGTAACTGATTTTTTCAAACAGAAAATTCATTTTTATACCATCAAACACACAAGTAAAGCCAAGGGTTGGCTTTTTTTTCATAACTTTTATTTGATACTTGTAACAAACTCACTATTTTCAATTAGATAGATATTAGTTTCTATAGTGTTCCACTTTTCTAACCTCAAAAATGTCAATTCATTAAGTTGCTTTGTTAATAATATTTTATAATTTCATTATATACAGTGTATATAGAGATGTATACTTTATTTTAAAAGTCCATCAGTAGAGCTGTTGCACAGGCATAATAGAATAACTGAAATAGAGATCTGGTATATTATGAATTCTATGAGTGTGGTAAATATGCTTTTTGTATGTACACTTATAATTTGTCTATTAAAGAAAGGCGGAAGACAGAGTACAAGAAGACTGGAGATTTTAAGAAAATAAGGAGAAAGAGAGGTTCAAATCTAAAGACAGTAAAACTAGATATTGAACTGTGAACTGACAAAGAAAATTTGGATAATATTATTTAACACGTAAAACATACATGCTAATAACTTGAAGTACAGATTTACTCTTTAAAAATTGATGAAAGAGGTGATATAGGCATTCTTTCCCCATAAAAATACCTCATGTATTTTGAAGAAAGGCAAATAAATACCTTTGAAAATAGTTACATAGTAATTTGGGGACAGAGAGTGTTAAAATATAGAGAGATGAAGGGAAATCTATGAGTGTAAGATCCAAATATAGTAAATATTCTGAAATCCCAACAATTTCAGGGGTCAGGGTACATACTTGGAATGACAGAACAGACTAAAAATAATTGGTGCAGCCAAAAAAAAGAGGGAAGGGAATAATCCTAAGCAAAAGCTATCGTTCTGAAAGACCAGTAAGAGCAAGAAAAGACCTTTGACTTTTGAATGTACCAAGAACCTATAGTTAGAAAATCGATAACACAAATTCATAGAGTCAAATATTTCTGCAACCCATACCCAAAGTGATAATCACAGCTGCCTAACCTTTACCCACCTTGGAACATAGTGGTAGATGTTACTGAGAAAGGCAGATGATTTTTTCCAGGTAGAAAATTACTTTAATTTCTATTTGGGGTGCCTTGCCAAATTGCAAATCCCAAACAGATTGACATGTCATCCAAGGAGATTTAGTCAGGTTCGACCAGAGGATTAAGCAACACCCACATGATTAGAATAGTGTTCCATACCTACTTTTCAATGGCTGAATGGGTGTATCTGGTACAAAGAAGGAGACAGACCACAGGGTCAGTAAAATGCAAATATCCAGCAATTAGATCACTATAAAAAGCATATCTAGAAAAACAAAGTTGCTACCACTTTAAAAAAATTGTCCTGAATTTGGGAAGAGAATGCTTGAGTTCACATCTCAAGCGTGTTTTCTCTCTATGACCAGAAAATTAGAAACATTTCCTTTAACTGCTACTCAGTACAATACTTGTATTTTATAATGGTATTCAATTCTGTTCTGTGTGTGTGTGAAAGTACATTAAAACAGTTGAGATGATAGACTACAGCCTGATCTGTAAAAACTAGGTAGTATGTTACAGAAGATACCAAACCCGGGCAGAGACACAGGGTTTTTCATTCTGTCAATTATATGCATTCAAAAACTGAACAACTAAGTACAACCTTGACTTTAAGACAAATGCTGCCTTTATGATGCTGGTATTTGTGTATAATGCATTAACTGATACATAGTATGTTTTGTTTATGGTCAGCAGCTGTTGATTCCTCAGAAACCCAAATCTTCCTTTACAGAAAAACAAATGCTTTTATGTAGTTGGGACTTTCAGTCCTTTATTTTGTTAGCTTTAACTTCTTCCCAACTGAACATCTGAAGATGAACATCTTCTGAAAAATATGAACATCTGTCTATCTCAAAATTACAATCAAAACCATCTTTCATTATTTTGCAAGCTGAATTTCTGCATTGTTGAACAAAAGTCACTTCACCGCAGTTCAGTATTTTACCAATTTTCACTATGTTATTATTTATTTACTGCAGTTCTTAGAATTCAGGTAGCTGTGTTCTAACATTTATTCTAAATCTTTATGCATAAAATGAGTCATTAAAACAATTTATTAGACTCAAAAAGGACTTCTATATTCTTGATAAATACTTTTTTCCAAACTATAAACAAAAGAGCTCAAGTAAGAAAGAAGTGCAAAATCAAACCTGGCCACTAAGTGGTACCTTGAATTCTCGCTGATATTTAAAACTATCAACTTTAAAGAAGTCCGAATACACCAAGCCACTATTGCGATTGCTCTTGGCGCTTAATCTTTCCCAGTCTCTGGTTCTCTCACAGATGACCAAAATCTTTGGGCTCCCTCTGCTGCTTTGGCTATGTATAACACAGTAAAAACAAAAAAACAATGGGTTAAAAAAAACCCCAAAGTGGGATCAGCTGCAAAATAGCCCGGTGCCAACTATACATTATAGGACTCTATAGTTTGCAGTAAGGAAGAGGAATTTGTCAGTGCACAGTGGGAACTTACAGCATGTGGAAGAAATCAGCTTTCAGTAAGTGCATTCTCTTAAACCCATACACACCTGGTCTTGCTATCAGGAGAGACAGCCAAACCAAAGCAGCTTAATTTGGTTTACAGCAGCTGGTAAACTCTATAAATTGGTTCTTTCTTTTTTTTTGGAGGTTTGCTTGGGGTATTTTTTACATTTCTTTTGACTTATTTAGAGTATGGGTTACTGTTGGGAACTCATATTCCCTTTCTTTTTTCATAGTGTGGAAAAAGCATGCCACCTCTTGCTAGGAATTTATGTCATATACACTCTGAGGAGGCAGAGCAAAAGTAAACCACATAATCTAAAACTCCCTTAAACAAACTTTCCTGGTGGGCACAACTTAAGGTCCAGCCTTGCCAGTCTTTCTGTGTTATTGAGCCAAATAGTAGTACCAGACCTGTACATGTCTGATGATATTCACAAAGCAAGTACTTCACACTCACCCTCTCATCAAGTAAAACTCTTATTTCATCACACGTATAAGGGAAAATCTACATCCAGTCTTTCTTTCTTTACATGTTGCTACTATTATGCTTTTCTTCAATTGGAATTTTGAAATCTTAAAGTATATGAGATTAAACAAAAATGTGGAAACCTAGAATAAAATTACTTTTTCATTATAGGAAATTAACATAAATAATATAAATTAACATCTTGCATTTTTTATTTAAGACAAATAGTGACGTACCAAAGTACACTTAACCTTAAAAATCTGATAAATCAATAGTATTGCTTGGTCACGTATATTGTCAATGTGGGAACTGTATCCTACAGGAAACCAAATAATTTGCTTATTGGTACACTGGAACGGAAATTTCAGGCTTAATCATAACAGTCTCAAAAGCTTACAGAGGGTTTGGTGGGTTTTTTTGTAGCTCAAGCTGTGCTAAGCTTGCATTTGCACTGTATCTCCGAATAGGCAGTGTCAACATAAAAAGAATATACTGTTCAGTTTCACAAGGTAAGAATAACACCAATGCTAACATTTTCAGCTACAAATATTTACAGACACAGTAGAAAATACGTGGAGCAAAGGCTACAGAATAGTGAGCCTAAAGGGCAGATAGTAGGCCACACCAAAAAGCCCTTTATTCTAGTAAATATGACTGACCAGCTTCCGCAAGGTCTTCTGAATTTTAAAGGTCAGAAACAACACTTTGGTCTTATTTCAGATTTACAGCAGTATTTACCAAGTATGTATTAATATGCTTAGCATAATGCATGTGCTGAAAGTTTATTGAAAGGGACACTTACTGAGAGACCTAATGGCAAATTATAACAGTGCATACAACTACATATTCAAAAGCATCCCTTACTTCTTCCTGGCACATTTTTGCTGATGTGTGTTTCTTGACTTAGTCTCTAAAGAACTGTGTTATCCTGAATGTTGTTAGGAAGCAGGTGACTAACAAGTTTATCTTACATTTACAAATAAAATGTGCTTTTAACCTACATTAACCCATCTTTAAACCATCATAATTACACTCCTTTACAAGTCACAGCTTTTTAATTTCATTAGCTTCATCTTCAAGTGAGTATTTCTGTTTAAATTCTATTCTACTTATTCTCTTTTAAATAGAGTGCTTGAAAGGAGCGTTCACTTGTATACGTTGTAAAGCTTAATGCTGAAGCATTTCACCAAATATTTTTCATAATTCCTTTTTAGTTGATTGTCTCAGTGCAAGGAAATATGTGCCTTTATTTGGTGAAAATATGCTGAAAAATTCTGTGTAGTGGATATAGTAATGTGTTAATACTGACATGACAAATATCTACATTGCACAATATTTATCTCAGATAAGTGAGCATGCAATAAAGGGCACTTTATAGTTTCAAGATTACAAAAAGTATTAAATATTTTTACCTATTTGACAATTAACTCCCTTCAGTCAAGGCACAGAGAAGTCATTAAATTCTTATTGTGTGAGTTTGGAAGACAGATTATTTAATATCCTTCATTTTATCATTAACTTGCCTCTGACACCCTGAGCCTCGGTTATAGGCTCAGGAGCAGGCTGAGGTTTTTCACATTCTAGTGGGTCTGCAGCTGTCCAGTTTGTTATATGTCCAGATGAATCCCCCTGATGAGCTTGCATTCTAAGCAGACAGCATCATATCACCCTGCCCTGATACAGTGTGTTTTCCACACCGTACAGAAGTTCTATAGTATGCAAAAAAAGAGTTCCAAATCAGTCAGTTTTATAAGCAACAATGGAAAATACTGTTTTATGCAGTTCTGCTCTGAAACTTTTAGTCTATTGGATGATATTACAACAATGCAACAGCATGATGAAGAAGAGAGGAACAAGGA